TATAAAAAGAAGTAGTTAGTTTTTACATTTCATTCCGTTACATTCATTAGGTTTTAAAAGTGAACATTGTATCTCCATTACAAGTATCTTATTAAAGAATGATGGGCTATTCTTCACATGGAATTAAATATGTATAGGTAGAAGATTCTACAACTCATTTGACAGGACATGAGGTTACTTGTTTTTGGTTTGTTTAATATGAGCCAGATGCGGATCATTTCATTTTTATTTAGTTATTACAGTACACGAAGAACTCCTGAGATAATTTTCAGATTAGATTCATCTATTCTGCGAGGAAAAATAAATTACTTGGTTCCAGGTACTTAGAGATTCACTTCCAGAAAGCCCATATTCTTATCTTCAGGTAACACAGAGTACATGTCAGATTAAATAATACCACTTATACTTCAGCGATAGTATGTAGTTGTTACATTATTGTATGTCTCATACCATGTCCGTTGGTTGTGCTGTTCTTTTTACATCTCTTTGCAGGTGATGAAGCAGACTGAAAATGTTTTATCATTATCTCCCTTTTATCTTCTATTTGTTTTTCACCTTTTCTCTTTTTTTTCTGTTTTTCCTTTTACTGTTCTACCTACAATGTCCATATAATGTGTAAAACTCCCTGCATAATTATAATAAAGCAATTTATATGCATAAATTATTGTTATTGCCACATCACCAGACAGGACACTGTGAAAAAAAGAAAAAAAAGAAAGAAAAAGAAATTACTTTAGGGATGACGGAAATATCGGTAAACTGAGACAGCAGTTGCTTACGGCCCACAACCTCTTGTGGGCCGTAAGCAACTGTGATTTTTTTTGTCCTTTTCGGGGTGATTTTCCAGTGGTGTGAGAAATTTCCGATCGGGCCGACTTTCAGCCTGATCGCGCACTGGAAAAACCATCTAGAAATAAGTTAAAATTTCCTAAATTAAGTGTATTTTCCCTTAATTTTAGTAAGTAAATTAGATAGTTTGCCAATGGAATGAGTATTTTTACTCTTAAAATTAGATATTTAGATAATTTGCACTTGAAATAAGACAATGCAATTGTGTTTTCTGATTTTAAGTGGAAGTTGTCTTGTTCCAGTGGCAAAATGTCTCTTTTTCTTCCTCAATCCAAGAATAAATGCACTTATTTTAAGAAAAAAATGACTTATCTAGATTTCAATTTTTCCCAGTGTGCATTGTGAGTCGTGTAGTGTACAGGGGGTAACGGGGGGCGATCAGCCTCTCACGACCAGCTCCCGATCAGGAATCGTTAGGTCAGCAGAAAATCAAACACGTTTGATTTTCTCCCAACCGTCGTCGGCAAATCACTCAGTGCAAACAAGGATTCTCCTTCTGCTTCTTCCTCTCAGATGAAAACCCAGAAGCATGGCGGGGGTGCGAGTGAAATGGAATTCTTTCTGTAAAATTGACAGACCGTGGTAACCGGAATTTCTCTGCCATGTCTTTGTACAAATACGTTGTCGCCTTTTCTTTTTAGGGCTTGCAACACAAAATGCACAAATTGCCAAGGCAGCGCATTTCTCTCTAGTGAGCTTCATATTCCCCTTCTGTTTGCTTGGCTTCCGGATTGACGAGTCAGAGCAGCTCCATCTCACTGCGGGGCTGAGTCCGACATGGTTTTTAGATGTACAGTGTGAGCAGGTAGATCGCATGAGAGATTCGTGCTGCACATACATTGTGAGCTTTGAACTCACACTGTACGACTAAACCCTGCGCTTTAGTCCCTCTCAGTCAGTGTGGATTTCCCTTATGAGGCTGATTGGTAACACCAGGTCCTTGTCAGCACTGCTCATGGGCACGCTTATATGGCAACACCTGACCAGGTAACCTCAAAGAAAAGAGGGTTTAGGTATGGTTTGTTTGGTTTGGGTGCTGGTGTTTTGTTTAAATTGAGACACTGCCCTATTTTGCTCTTCCACTGGTGGCGGTGTGGAGTGGAAAAGTATAAAGGTGAGAGGGCAGAAAGGGTTTTGGTGGCAGGAGGTCATACTGTCTTTACCGCTTTCTTTGGCATACAATAGCCTGTGTCCTATGGTTAAGCTCTGTCATATCCACACTCTCCCTAATTACCTGTCCATCTTACTTGCTGTAAAAGACTGCCACTCCAACAGATTACTCATTTACAAACTGACCTCAATAAATGGGAATGCCCATAACTCATCTCCCGGTCTGGACATCATCTTGTAAGCTCTTTAATACCAAAATTCCAAGCACCCAGAAGCGATTAAAAGGTGACTGATAGTTGCTACAGGCCTTAAATTAAAATTAGACTCTTCATGCATGAATTTAGCACCTACATCATTTTATTCTACATGTTTTCCAGTATCAGAAATGTTTAATATTTTTTTTTCCTTCATATTCCATTAAAGCTGCTATTGTTTATGGCAAATAGCCAACAGGGGCGCAAGAAGCGTGTTGAAAAAAGAAGTCGCGAAATAACTTCCCATGAATTGAGAAGGATCCAGCGTGAAGGTGCCAGAAATCTATTAGCCACCAGAAGTGCCATATTTCAGATCTGCAACATATCTGGAGTGCCGAGAATCACAAGGTGCTCAATACTCAGGGACCTGGCCAAGGTAAGGAAAGCCGAAAAAAGGCCACCTTTGAACAAGA